TGGTGGTCGGTGACCAGTTGTTGAACAGAAAGCTGTGCCGGCCTGTACACAATATTACCTTGGATGAATGTGATATCGAGCTCATTTCAGTGCAGCAAAGCACAGTACTTTTTGCATATAATTATGTATTTGTTTGGAACCTTGTCAACAGTAGGTATGACAAATTGTCTGTGTGCCTTACGCAAAGCTCTGCCAAAACCAGTATTGACTAAATTAGAAGGAGAGCAACGATTAGCGATCCTGCAACGTACTACGGCTAATATCCTATGTTTGAAATTGTCATACTGAGGAACCGTTGTACCGGTGCGGTTTGCTATGCCGGAGATGAAAGTGTCCAAAGCATTGGAAATGTCTGTTATAATTTCGTCTGCGGTTTTAATTCCACCTTTCCGGCCATTGCCCGAGACATATATGGCGATAAGCAGGATGTTAAGACCACCCACTATGGTCATAGGGCTTGCTTGTTGGATTTAGATATCTTTTCCTGTGACACTGCATGTGCCCTCGACATCTACAACAGGCGCTTGATTTTCATATTGAGAAACCGTGGGTACCGGTGCGGTTCCTAATGCCCACCTTCCCTCCTTCGGTCCGGGCACTAGGTCCTCCCAACTGTATACACTAATGCTGTCATATTGCGATTTCTTTGTTACTCCAAACTCTACTCTAAACCGTACTATCTTTCGCATCAGTCTTCCAACATCCGGTCCTTCTTGCGCATGATGTTCTTTTTCCCTGTTACCTTTTTTCATGATTTTCCTTTTCCCTTTTTAATCTTTTTCTTTTTCCAATTAAATGAGCTTCTTACACTCGCGCGCTGCGATGTAAGCCAGCCGCGCTACATCAAATTATGGGGCAGCTTTTTGGCTGCTCGGTCCACATACCGCATGCTGCGCTGCAGCATGCACCAGTATTTCGGTCTCTGGACCGGACCGATACTAAACAGTGACACCTACCTCATTAATGAGTGTTTTCCTTTCAGGAAATTGCCACGCTTAAAAGTGAACTTAAGCTTGTTGAGAATCGCGTCTCACAAAATGAGGTGCGCTTGGAGGATACTATTAGGACTGTCGAGGCCAATGAGCGCGTGCAGAGATCCCTCAATGTTCGCATTTATGGATTTGATTTTACTCGATGCAATGTTCCGAGGCCTAATGAGCCCAATCAGTTTGACGTCACCACACCTGCAGAACTCGTCCGCCAACTCATGATTGATGTTTGCCTTATCTTTTCTCCACCTGTTCATATTACAGCTCCTGCCCTCATCACTCTGCGTAGGCTGGTTAGTTATCTGTTCGTCCAGTTGGAGGTATGAAGCTTGAAGGCGATTTTGCCAACACCTTGGCCTTTCGTAAGTGCCACTGGGTGGCGAATCGTTATATCTATGCTTTTTCAATACTGCGGATCACAAACAAAAATTCGAAAAAGGAAAGTATGTATTACGGGGTTGCGCGCCCCACGGACGGAGTATTTCGATTAAAAGTGACCCCACAAAGGCGCAGGTGGGTTTTCCTTTCCTGTTATCCCCCTCTCTTTTATCCTCTCTCTACTTCTACTTGGCTTATAAAATGCATTACAGAGCCGTGAATTCCAAGATGTGGCGACTGTAGCGCTTCAATTACGCGCTAAAGGTTTTGTTGCGTATTCGACTGATAACCGCATTCGAGTTGGCCCTCGTAACGATTCACGGTGGTATCATTACACGGACCCTGCTATACATTCAATGCTTAATCCGAGCGGTTGAGTCGCTGTTTGAAGAACCAAGTGGATCCGTTGCTTTTTTGATCTTTTGTGTTCGTTCCTTTTTTCAAAGATGTTTTTTTGTGTATTCCTCGAATTTTTCCTGCTGTACGTTGTCCAAAACTGTGAGAGGTTGTGATCTGTAATTACATTTCAACATATTCACCGACACTTTTGTGGCCTAAACTTTCAGCGCAATGCTATCCTTCCTGGCAGCGGATCACGACGGGGCTTAATTTCCCGGCTTTTGACTCTTCCGCTTCCTGATCCCACAGGGCGCTGAGCTTAATCCGCTATGTCCACAGTTATCAACTACGTTTTTATCTGAGTTGGAGTTGGGCCTGTCAGTGCAGGCTTAGGCCGCAACTACATCTACATTTATCTGCTCCTTTTGGTTTCTCCCTATAATGTTTTCGACAAAATGCGGTCCGGACGTACGTACAGGCCCGGCCGTCTCTACCTTCTTACCTGTGTGATTTGCAGTTTCCAGCCTTGGCCTATCGCCGTCGGTCATTTTCTCGAATACTCCATGGTTCACGGGAGCTACTATTCTCTCACATACAATCTTATCTACGACTGCCTGAATCAACCCGCGACAAGATGCCTCTTTTTTTAAAAAAATCTCCTCTGGAATGGTCTCCGGTTCGGTCTTGCGATGCGTATACAGGCTGCGTCGGGTATATTTGGTGTTCGTTCGCAGGCGCGATTGAGTTACTTCCTAAAGTTTCTGTTCACAGGTCTTTCATGTTGTACGTTATCGCATTCAGAATATAGAGTATACCTCATCTTCACTCTCCTCCACCGCTTTGTCAGTTGAGGAGGACTGCTGGTGGACTTTTACGCTGTTCACTCTTACTGTCTTCGCGATTACTGCCTTTGACTAATGGCATTCGTGGTTCTCCTCATCCCCATAGCTGGTGTTGGCTGCTTATGCTGGTTCCAACAGCAAACTTAGCTCTATTCAGCTATGTCATTCCTTTTTTGCTTTGGAATATCTGGTCTTTTATGTTCCTTTGATTAAATATAGGCTTATTTTGCACAACTGAGGCATTTTGACGTCTTCTTTTGAGCAATAGCAGTTTCTATGTGCCCTTACGGTCGTGCTTCCTTACTGATGCTGATCGACGCTAGAGCTACCCTTTCCTTTGCTACAGTCTCAGTTTGGTTTTCCCAGTACAATGCGATGCTTGTCCGACCCGACGAGATCCTCTCCATGCGCTGAATCCCAAGTCACGTTGCTTCTATTGAGCCTATTATGGATGTCTGCTGGATATGATCATTTTTCGTGTATTTATATAGCATTGTAAGTGTTGATAAACATTTCGCGTTTCCCATTATTGCAGTTAAATTAAGACCTATGCGTTTGGGTTAACAATAGAATGTGCAGCCAAGTTACACATTCTTTCTGCCGCTGCTAGTTTACGACTTTCCCTGCCCTTCTTTCCTAACCAAGGGGTTCACCTTCCCCCACCTCCCTCTTT